TCTTTTTCGCCGCGCAGCTGGCGCAGCTTGCCAGTTATGATGCATGCGCGCACTCGCGATCAGAAGGTTCCGGCGGAGCCCCTCTGGAACATTCTGAAGACAGGGTGCCCCCGCGAGCTCCTCTGGAAGTTGGCTCGGTATGGCACCGCGCCCAGGCGGGTCAATCCTTCTGGAGGCGCCTCTTTCAGGGCCCCATGCTGGAGGGTTGCTGTGAGCTCCCGACGTACTTCTCCAAGGCGCCCTACAGCAGGTCCTTCATTGACCGCGCGTTCGTCTCGCTGCGGTCGCCCTGGGCTGTGGAGACGTACATCGCGATGGAGATTTGGCAGGTGGCGGCTTTCCTTTCGGAGTGGAACCTCAGCGTCCGCGTCATTGTGCAGCTGACCATCCAGCCGAAAGCAGAGGCGCCTCGCGACGCGCAGGCAATCCTAGAAAGCGTCTTCAGGTCGCCCCGTTTCGCGCGGCACGTGAAGGCGTTCCTCGATTGCGCCGACCTGGGCGCCATGGGCACGTCGGAGCGCCGGGCCTTTGTACAGACCCTGCTGCACGAGGCGGCCCGCCTCGCCCGGAAGGAGCTCCAGCGGCTACCGATCGGGGACGGCTCCGAGGAGGCTGGCGATGGCAGGCGACTTGTTGCCTGGGCTATTGCAAGTGCCATCTGGCGGCAGGGCGCGGCCTCGGCCCAGACCCTCATTGACTCCTCGGAGTTTGGGGCTTCCCACCTGCTCCTCGGCGAGTCCGGCGTGACTTTGCGCGACCCCGAGGCCTTCCTCAACCAGTCGATCCACCTCCACGTCCAATGGCGCGATCACATGCAGAGCCTTGCGGCACAGCGCGCTGAGGACGCGGCCCGGCTCCGTCCAGGAGGCGCTGGCTCAACGCAGATGCGGAAGCTGCTTCGCGCCGCCTGCCGGCGGGCGCGGCTGTGGGCGCTGTTCCGCTGACGCCTCCAGCTCTTCGTCGTTCGCGTCGACCGTCCTGGCCATCAGGCTGGAACATTGCGCGGCGACGCCCCCGTGCGCGCTGAGCTTCTCCGCCACTGGGGCCTCGTCTTCCGCGGCAGAGCGGTCGATGAAGCTATGGTCGACAAGTGCCTGGCCGAGCGCGTCTCCGACTACGAATCCCCGCAGTCGCCCGTTCCATCGATGAAGGCGCTTGCTGGGGCCCTCTCTCGGGCAAAGCCCTCGGCGCCTGGCCCGGGCCGCCTGCCAGCCTCGGCCTAGCTGCTGGGCGAGCGGCTGCTTTAGGCGCCCTACTTGTTGATGGTGGGCCTCTTCGCCGGGCGCGCGCCGCCGTGTGGCCCCAACTTCTCGCGCCTGGCATTCGTGCCGACGGGCGACGAGCATAAGGGCGCAGTTGACGTCGTCCGTGGGGCTGGGCATGTGCGCCCACTCACCATGAATAACACCGACGTGAAGGCCATGGCGACAGTCGTCAACCACGAGCTGTCTGCGGTCATTGGCGCGAGAGCGCACCCCGTCAAACAAGGGTTCATTCGTGGACGGAATTTCTTGAAGCACATCGTGGCGCATGACGCTTGCTGCAGAGCTGTCAGCCACCACAGTGAGCTGATGCCTGTCTTTGTGTCCTTTCATTTTAAGGCAGCGTTTCTGTCGCTGTCCCGACAGTTTCTCCGGCGTGTGCTCTTGAAACATAAGATCCTGAGGGCTATGTGGCAGTGGCCTTCGTGGATTCGGTATACGCTTCCTCTCTTGCTCGCCTCCAGGCTGGCCCCCTCCCCACCCCCTTGTTCTTTTTGACCCCTGGTGTTGCTCAGGGGTGTCCCCTCTCTGGTACCTTGTGGGCATTCGCTATGGACATATTTCTCAGGCATTTGGAGGCGCTGACGGCCCAGATCCGTCACCTCCCAAGCGTCCCGCCGCTCAACGGCGCCTGTGCTGACGACGTGGGCTCCACTCTCCCCTCCATGCATTACCTCTCCCTCCTGGTTCCGCCTTTCGCTTCGGCTGAAAAAAACGCCACGCTGGAGCTTCGGCCGGCCAAGTGCGTTTTAGTTCCCTTGGGGCAGCGCTTCACGGAGGCCAGTGCTCGTCAGATGCGCCAGCTTCTTCAGGTACTAGTCCCAGCGTGGGCCGCATTCAAGATCGCCGGCTGCGCCCCTTATCTCGGAGTTCAGGTCGGCCCCGAGGCTGGTCTAGATGACCAGTTGACCAGGGTGGTGCTAAAGTGGAAGACCAGGACCAAGTAAACGTCCCTTACCAGGGCCCCCGCCGAGGCTAGTTGTAGGATCTATTACATGTGGATCTGTCCAGTTTGCCAATATCTTTTCCAACTCTTCCCCCTCCCTGCTGCTGTGCTCTCTGCCGAGCGTCACGTCCTCCACCGCCTCCTGCGTCTCCCTCCCAACTCCTTCGCATTAGCTGAACTTTTGTGCATTGGAGCGTGGCTCCCCTCCGCCACCCCATCCCCGCTCTGCACGACAGATGCAGCAGCAGCATGGCGTACGGCCCACCACACTTTAGAGGTGGGGTCGGCGGACGGGTGGAGGGCAGCACTGGCGCAACTGCACGAGCATGCCTGGTTGCACGGTCATCTTGTGGATTTCCTCAGAGGTGCTCTCTCCCCCGAGGCGTGGAGGAACCGTGTCAGCATAGTTGAATACCTTGCTTCGTTGTCCTCCACTCCCTCCATGGGCATTTCCCAGCATGCATGGCAAGAGAGTGCGGCCGCGGCCACCGTGGAGCTCCGCACTGCCGGGGTGGAAAGGGGGGCCGACCTCGCCCGCGGCGAGTGTTCGCTCGATCACCTCGGCTAGCTTTGTTCCCTGACCGTATGCCCTCCCTTCTCCGTCGACGCATCTGCTCCTGGTTCCCCCACTTCCCCCAGCTCCCGGATCATGAGATCAGCCTGCGATGGATCGCGTTCGGGAGGATTCTGGCGAGACCCCCGCCCTCCCCGCATGGGCCCACTGAAAGACCTTGTCTGGAGCTTGGACTACATCAGCGCGGATCCCATCCATGAACCGCCGGCCTTGTCGTTTCGGATGCGAGCCCCCAGCCAGTGATGATTTCAGCCACTACCTTTCCTGTCCTCGCTTGCTTCACCTCCTCGCTTTTCCTCGTGGTCAATTGCCCGCCTCCCCCATTATTCGCTTCGTACTGGGGATGGAACCCGATCCTGAGCGAGAGTATCCACGTGCTCGTTTGCATCAGGTAAACTTTTTTGCGTTTCACATATACCACAATCTGAAGGCAGAGTATGATGCACGAGGGAGCGCTCCCACCACTCCCACATTTCATCACACGATTCTGGCAGCAGCGAATGCCGCCAGTGGTTGCTGAGCGCGCTGTCGCGCCGTAGGTCCAGACCACGGTCGTTCCTCCTCCTCCTCCTCCTTCCCCTCCTTCTCCTTCTCCTCCTCCTCCTTCCCCTCCTTCTCCGCCTCCTCCTCCTCCTCCTCCTCCTCCTCCTCCTCCTCCCTCCACCCTTCCGAGAGGCTTCCCAGAAGCCCAGAGAAGGGGTTCTGAGAAGCCCCCCGCCTCCTTCCAGGCCCTCCCGCCGCCTGACCAGGCCGACCCCCCTCGGCGTCACCCCTCCGTGCGCGCCGCCAGATGGGCACGGAGATCAAAGTCAGTTCCTGCTCCTCTTGAACAGGGGCCGCCGTCGGCGTCGCCGCGGATTGTGTCCATTTGGGGCGAGTTTTGGACCGCGGTTGCTGTTGGGCATCGTATCGCTTGTTTTTTCTTCCCTCTCCTGGGCGTGCCGATCGGCCTTCCCCCCCCCCGCGGGCCTGATTCTTGGGTCGGCCCTGCAGAATCAGCTTGACCCTGGCGGAGGCCCGGGCGCGCTTCGTGTTCTCTTCATACCTGGAGCACGTGCGGCCCTCGGACGGGGGCTCGTGTCCTCTCGTCCGTCCCCGTCAGTCGGGTCCAGCTTGTGCTGGAGGGGCAAGAGGGAGTGATGAGGGGGAGGGGGATCAGGACAGGGGCTTGATGGTTTCAGAGGGTTGTGAGGCTTTGCTCCTCCACCCCCTTTCTCCTCCGCATCCCTCCTCCTCCTCCTCCTCCTTCTCCTCCTCTCCCTGCTCTTCTTCCCCCTCCGCCTACCTCCTCCTCCGCCGACCTCCTCCTCCTTCTCCTCCTCCCTTCGGTCTCCGTCTCCCCCGACTCCTGCCAGGAATCCAGATGCACATGACGTGGCTGGCCCAGGGGAGAGATGGACACACGTGTGGCGAGGTGTCTTTCTGGTGCTGTGCCCTTCGATGGCCTGGCACGCCGGACTTCCACATGTGTATCCAGCGCGTGGCCTCTGGACGTTCACATGTGAATCCAGCCTCGTGTGTGTTTTGAAATCGTTCAAGGACGGTCAGCTGGGGTGCTCAGCTTTCGGGAAGGTCTGATTTCAATTGCATTATGATGGGGGCGTGTTGATGTTGGCATGGGACCAGGTTTGCGCTTGCCTCACCTCTGCCGAGGTCCTTCGCTGCTGCCAGAGAAGCTTTCCTACGCATGTGATTCGGCGGTGATGGCAAGAATCCGGCACCCGAAATCGGCGGGGCTCCCCCCAGTTCAGTGCCGCCACAGGAGATCGTGCTTGCTGCGGGCGAGTGTGTGGTCCTCCTTCGCGACTGGGGGCAGACGCATTGTCATAGAGACACGGCAGCACTTCTGGCAGAGCCCTTTGCGGCGAAGGTGGTGGAGGAGGAAGAGGTCACGAGCAGCCTTTTTGTTCGGGTCGATTCGCAAGCGCATGTGAGCCATGTGGTGAGGAAGAGGTCACAAGCAACTCATGTGAGCCATGTGTGCCCTCGTCATTCCGTCTTTCGCGTGCGTTCGGGTCGATTCGCGTCTGGTACGCGGTGCGATAGCAGCGCCGATTTGGCGTCGATTCGCAACGACTGGCGTCGATTAGCGGCGATTAGCGTCGATTCGCAAGCGCCAACAAGATGGCATGGGAGGCTCCCTCGCGCTGCCACCGACCCGTGGCGTGCCCCCCTCCGTCGCGCCACGCTTCCTCGCCCCGCGCCTGCCTGCCCGCAGGATGGGGAGCTCGGCCGAGGCCCTGCTTGCCGTGCAGAACCTGGACGGCAGAGCTCTGGGCGGCTCGGGGCCGGGGCCGGGAAGCTTCGAGGACGAAGCTGAGATCTTGGCGACTCCGTTCTTCCAGCCCGGCGTTTCCGCTCCACTTCGGGCCTCGGGGCCCTGACAGGTCGATCCGGCTTGAGAAATGACGCGGAAGCATGGGGTCCAGGGGTCCAGTCGTCTTCTTTCTGCGACGTCACCGCGGGATCTCAGGGGCCATACGTTTTCGGTGCTCCACGCGGATTTCTCGGGTCTGCGCTGGACCCCTCTGGCAAGGCCTCCGGCGCTGCCCCTGTCGCGCTCCGCGCGCCAGAGAGGCAGTTCCCGCGCGGACGCAGGAAGTCTGCGCGGCCCTCCCAAATTTCATGTTTATGCTGTTTTTTGTGCCTCCGAAGCTGGGCGAAGAACTCTATGCACAACCACTGCCCCCTGGCAGGGCCCTTTCTGGGCCCGGGAGCTGCGTGTACGCCCTCCTGGCCAAGCCAGGAGGGCGTGGCGTATACACCGCTACAGGGTTCGGGATGGGGGATGGGCCTGGCCTGGGAGCAGTGGAGATGTGGGGCGTTCCAAAAACGGCCTTGCCTTCGAGGATTGAATGAGTTGTCATCTCTTCCGCCGCGGAAGACGGCGGAAGGTCGGCGGAAGTAAGACGAGGCCGCCTCCGCCGGCGGAAGCCGGCGGAAGATCGGCGGAAGGCGGCGGAAGTAAAAAATTATCCCGGCAAAGCAACCTAACAGCGATGTGTAGGAGCATATCTGGAAGCATTCCCCTTAAGATTCAGATGAGAATCCAGTTGTAGAATTCTGCTGTTCTCGCAGTCGTAGTCGCATTCGCGATGACAGTCGCAGTGGCAACGGCAGTCGCAGTCACAGCCTCAGCCTCAGCCTGCCTCAGCCTCAGCCTCAGCCTGCCTCAGCCTCAGCCTGCCTCAGCCTCAGCCTCAGCCTGCTTCAGCCTCAGCCTCAGTCTGCCTTCAGCCTCGGCGTCAGCCTCAGCCTGCCTCAGCCTCAGCCTGCATCAGCCTCAGCCTCAGCCTCAGCCTGCCTCAGCATCAGCCTGCAGCCTCAGCCTCAGCCTGCCTCAGCCTCAGCCTCAGCCTGCTTCAGCCTCAGCCTCAGTCTGCCTTCAGCCTCGGCCTCAGCCTCAGCCTGCCTCAGCCTCAGCCTGCCTCAGCCTCAGCATCAGCCTGCCTCAGCATTCAAAATGTGGCCCGGGAATGGAGTTCTGGGAATTCGAAGAACACGAAGTGGCCTACAGTTGGCTCCGGGCATTCAAAATCATGCCCAGGAATGGAGTTCTGGGAACTCGAAGACCACGAAGTGGCCTACAGTTGGCTCCGGGCATTCAAAATGTGGCCCGGGAATGGAGTTCTGGGAACTCGAAGACCACGAAGTGGCCTACAGTTGGCTCCGGGCATCCAAAATGTGGCCCGGGAATGGAGTTCTGGGAAGTCGAAGACCACGAAGTGGCCTACAGTTGGCTCCGGGCATTCAAAATGTGGCCCAGGAATGGAGTTCTGGGAGCGCCAAGAGCGATTTTGCGAGGATGTCCCAAGCGATTTCGGCTTCGGCGGCAGCCGCCCCGGGTCCCGCCCCGACCCCCCTGAGGAGTCATGATGCTCTATTTTGAGACCACTAGAAACCTATCAGTCTTCGCTGTTAGGTAAAATGCGCCCAAGGGATGAACACGTTTTTGGGCTCAGGGTTTCCGAAATCTGCCATGTATAGATTTCGCCGCCCATCGCTGTGCGTGGGGCCTGTCTCCCACGACGGGGGTTGCAAGGGGTTCTCCTGTTGTGGGCAACGATCAATGGAGAGGAAGCATGTTGCCACATCATTTCCAGATGTCGAATTCCTTTCTTGGAAAAGCGTCTTTAACATGTAAAGCACATGTTCTAAACATTGTTAGAACAGGTTTCCAACATGTCCAACACACCTTTCGTTCAATGATCGGATCTTTAGGGTGGCCATCTTGGCTACCTGCGCTTTCAGTCTACGTGTCGAGCTCCGTGCTAACACGCTACGTGTTGCGTGCTGCGTGCCGGGGCAGCTGGGGGGGGCCACTGCCATGGCATCCGCAGTGCTCCTGGAGGCGCAAAACGCGCCCCCGGCGCTGCGCGCCCTCCTGGAGCCCCGCGGGGCCCTCTGCGCCTCGCCGTGGGCGGGGTCTTCGGCCTTCACCCCGGGCCTCCCAGTGAACCCTGGGTCGGGTGTAGCCAGGGCCCCAATGCAAGGGGACCAGGTCAGGGGTGAGGCCCTGGAGCATTTGAACAGGCCAGAATCACGAAACCAGGTCTGCCGTAGCTGGTGTTTTTTCGGATGGTGGCAGTTTCGGTCAGTGGAACGGGCCGGGGGGGGGGCGTCCCCCAGTACACATCACTAAACCAGGTTCCACTAAACCCAGTTCTGCCAACGCCCGACCTGGGGGCACCTTGACAGGGCTCGTTTCGATTCCTCCGATTCGATTCGATTCGATTTCGATGGCCTCCGATTCCGATCCGATTCGACTTGGGATTCCGATTTGGGTTCCGATTTTTTGTTGGAGGCATACTGGCCTGCCGATTTCTTGCCGATTCGACTCTTCCCGACTTGGTTGCCGATTTCCGCCGATCCGATGAATTTCGATCGCCGATCCGGCTTATCGATTCGATTCTGGGCTTCCTGCCTTGAGCCAGGGACACCTTTGTCGGCGGCGAGCGAGGGGGGGGGAGGTGAGAACGAGGGGGGCCTCCTCGGAAGGCGGAGGGGCTTATCAGAAACAGCCCTCCATCCTTCCGGGAAGGTTTTTTCGTGCCTGCGGGGGAGGCTTCGAAAACTTCTCAGGAGGCCCGAGGTCTTCTGAGCCTTTGAGAACGCCCGCCACCTCTCACTTCCCCCCAGGCGCGCTGCCGACTTTGGTAACACTCTGCCATCGTGAGCCACGGTTTTGAAAGCCAGGGCGCCCAGGAAGCTCAACCAGTTGCGCTGACGCGCAGTCGCACCGCCGCGCTTGGTGATGCGTGGAGGCAGGGATGCGCGGTCGGATCGAACGGCAAAACCTGCATAACCATAGACTTTCGGAGGTCCGCGCGGATTTCTTGGATCGGCGCTGGACCACCCTTGCTGTTTTTGCTGATTTTTATGGTCCTCTCGCATGGAAGCGATACACGTTGGAGCAGATTGAGTTTTCCAGTGTTTTGTAGAACGGGCTGCGTGGGGGCCTCTCTGGCCGTCGTGGGTCCCTCTCTCAGCGCTTCAGGGCCTCTTGCAGATCTGTGGGCCGTCTTGTGGCTCTCTTGGCCGCTCTTCTGAGCCTCTTGGGGGCCCCTGGGGCTGCGAAGGGTCGTTTCCAGCCGTTCAGTGTACGTGTCGGTTGAGGCAGTGTGTTTCGACAGGCGGCCGTTGCACGGGTGGACCCTGACGAATTGCCTCGCGATGGGCCGAGCAGTGAGGCAGGTCAAGAAGTGCCCAGGTAACGCCTGTCATGTCTGGCGCGGTGGCGGATTACTTGAGGGCGTTTCGAGCTCGTTGGGGAACGCTGGCGTGGGATCGGCTGTATGATGTCTCGTAGACTTTCGAGCGGTATTCCCCTCCCCAGAGAGTTGCCTCCAGGAGGCTCTGGCTTTCAGGAGGCGTGGGGACGATGGTGGAGTGGGCGGAAGGCTCGCGTACGCGGGTCAGGAGGAGGAGGGGAGGAGGAGGGAGGAGAAGGAAGGACGAGGAAAGACGAGGTGGAAGGAAGAGGAGGCAGCCGATGACAATGGCACCAGGCCTCGACCCTGCCCTCCCCGTTTTTCCAGCCGGCTCGCCCTGGCCTCCGCGCTCCCTCTGGCGCCCCCCGCCGACGTTCGATGTGGTGGGGGGAACAAAGGACGCCGTAAAGCACAGCGTCTGGAGTCGTGGGCGCCATCTCTGCACGTGAGCTCTCGAGAGATCCCGAGAGGGGTCGATTCGCAAAGGTCCCAGGGCCGGAACGCAGGGTAAACATACCCGTCGTGGTTTTCCACAACGCAGGGGGAGGGGGAGGGGGAGGAGGAGGAGGAGGAGGAGGAGGAGGAGGAGGAGGAGGAGGAGGAGGAGGAGGAGGAGGAGGAGGAGGAGGAGGAGGGAGGAGGAGGAAGGAGGACGAGGAGGAGGAGGAGGACGAGGAAGAGGAGGAGGGGAGGAGGTGGAGGAGGAGGAGGGAGGAGGAGGAGGAGGAGGAGGAGCAGGAGGAGGAGGAGGAGGAGGAGGAGGAGGAGGAGGAGGATGAGGAGGAGCAGGAGAAGGAGCAGGAGCAGGAACACGAGGATGACGAGGTAAAGGACGGGGATGGTGGTGGAGAAGGAGGAGGAGGAGGATGAGAGAAGAGGGGGGAGGAAGAAGGAGAGGTGGGGAGAGGAGGAGAACGATCAGTGAAGTGGTAGAGGAATGGATGAGGGAGAGGCGTGGTCAGCGAGGGAGGAGACGGATGGTAAGGATAAAGGATGCGGAGGAGGGAGACGGGTGGAGAACGAGTAGGAGGGGGAAGAATTTTTGTCTCCTTTCTTCCACATCCGCCAAGTAGTGCTTGCACTCAGGGGTTCTGACTTCTGCTGTAAGGAACTGGGCCTCTCTGCCGGTCTGGCGGCTATGTTGCCGCCGTCGCCGCCCCGTCGCCGCCCCGTCGCCGCCCCTCGTCTGGGCCTGTCTGCCGGTCTGGCGGCTATGTTGCCGCCGTCGACGCCCCGTCCCCGCCTCGTCGCCGCCCACTCACATCTTGGGCGCCACATACATTGCACCATGGAGATGTCACCACATATAGTGCACCACGTAGATTCTCCTTTCTAAAAAGAGAATAGACTCTACCCCCCCCGGCGTTATCGGCCCTCCTTTCGGGTATGTAAATAGATATGATTCTGACCACATGTCCATCCTAAATATAAATTTGCACTATCCCAGGGGGGCCTGGATCGTTCCCCCTGAGGTTCCCTTGTAAAAAACAATACGCGGGGACATTCTTTTTTTTGACATAGCACTTTTTTTCGAATCCCTTGCAAAACATGGAACAAAGTGCACAC